TTGCAATGCTGCTTTTAAAAAGCACTAAATGGTGGAGCAAGAGGATCTCTATGCTGAGATGGGCCGTGTTGGATTTCTCATCCAATTCTGCCACAGATCTCGCCATAGATCACAATCGCTCAGAACCCTACAAGATTCAGCTCAATGAGGGCCTTTCAGAACGATGTGAAGATAATCATGAGAGATTTTAATCTACACATTAACTAGAAAAGTCAGATAGGTAAATGGAGCCCAGGGAGGAGCTCATAGAATGTTTAGAGTCACAGAGGCATATCACAGAAACAGACCCCTCGGTCCAAATTGTCCAACACTGATCAGACATCCCAATTTGACCTGGTCCCATTTGCCAGCATTTGGCCCTGTGTCCTCTAAACACTTCATATTCATATACCCATCCAGATGCCTTTTAAATGTTGTATTGTACCCAACTCTATCACTTCCTCTGGTAGCTCGTTGCATACACGCACGACTCTCTGCGTCAAAATGTTACCCCTCAGGTCCTTTTTAAATTTTTCCCCCCTCACTTTAAACCTGTGCCCTCCAGTTTTGCACTTATCCCAACCTCAGAAAAAAGATCATGGCTTGTCATCCTATCAGTGACTTTCATGATTTTATAAACCTCTCTAAAGTCACCCCTCAGCCTCTGACACTCCAGGGTAAAAAGCCACAGTCTATTCACCTCTCACTATAACTCAAACCCTTCAGTCCCAGCAACATCATTATAAATCTTTTCAGTGCCACCTCAAGTTTAATAATATCCTTCCTTTAGAAGAACAACCAGAACTGTATGGAGTATTCTACAAGTGGCCTCACCAATGTCCTGTATAGCTGTAATGTAATGTCCTAATTCCTTTATTCAATGTTCTGACCAATGAAGGCAACGGTGCCAAATGCCTTCTTCTTGGGACAGTTTCTTAGAATAGCATGTTTTGGAGTTGACCAGAGAGCAGGTTATACTAAATCTGGTATTGTGCAACAAGATAGGATTGATTAATGATCTTATAATGTAGGTGCCTCTAGGTAACAGCGATCATAAAATCATTAAAGTTTATTTTCAGTTTGACGGAAGGTAGGAGTGGATCTGAGACTATCTTATTACATTTAAATCAGAACAATTAAGAAGGCATGAAAAGCAAGCTGGTGACAGAAAATTGGCAAATTAGGTTAAAGGATAGAGATGCAGTGACAGACATTTACAGGAATATTTTAGAATATATAAGATTTTCCTTACACAGGGTAAGAAAAGATCCAAGGGATAGACTCACCATCAAATGTTAACTAGAAATGTTAAAGATTATAAATTCATATAATTGTGAAAAGACAAGTGACAAATCATAAGATTGAATATAATATATAAAATAGTAAGGAATAGCTTTAAAAAAGAGGCGGGGGCAGGGGAAGCATGAGAGAAAACTAACCAGAAGTATAACAATAAATAGTATAGGTTTCCATAAATAATTCAAAAAGACTTAGTGAAGTGAGCAATGGTCTACTGAATGTAAGACAGTTGTTTTAACAACAGAAAATAAGAAAATGGCAGACAAATTTATCAGGTACTTTGCATTGATCTTCACTATAGAGGATACATCCAGAAGTGATAAATCAAGAAATGGGAGGGAGGAACTCAGGCAAATTACAATCGCGAGAGAAGTGGTACTTGTAAATTATTGGAGCTGCAGGCTGACAAGTGACCAGGCTTCATCATCTTAAAATAAATAGCTAGTGAGAGAATTTATGCATTGGTTTTAACTTTGCAAACTTATCGATCACTGGAAGATCACTTTAGATTGAAAGATAGCAAATATAACAGCTTTATTAAAAAGGAAGACTGAAAGCAAAAATTTATAGACCAGTTAGCATTTATCATAGGGAGAATCTCAGAAGTTATTATTAAAGAGGAAAACACAGGCCACTTTGATAAGTTCAAGGTAATCAGGGAGCATCAACATAAATATTGAAAGTCATGCTTGAACAATCTATTGCTGAGTTAACAAATGCTTTGGATAAATGCGAACTGGTGGATTTACTTTACTTGGATTCCCTGAAGTCATTAGATAAAATGCCATATCAAAGGTTATTGAGAGAAAAATAAAAGCTCATGGTATAGGTTGCAGCATAGACAGAATATTTGCTACCAGAAATCAGAATTGGCAAGAATGGGTCTTTTCCAGGTGTACCAAGTGATGTGCCGTGGTGTTTAGTGCTGGGACTTCAACTGTATACGAATGACTTAGATGAAGGGATGGAAGGTATGTCTATCAGACAACGGGTAGGAAATTGCAGAGATCTGCATTGCAGAGGGATCGAAGTGTCTGAGTACATAAATCACAAAAGGTTGGTATATAGGTGCAATGTGTACTTAGGAAAGCTGAAAAAAATGTTATTATTGTCATGAAGGTAATTGATTGCAAACACAAGATTATGTTTCAGTTATGTATCGCACTGATGAAACTACATCTGGAATAATGTACAGAATATTGACCTCTTTATTTAAGGAAGGATATAAATGAATTGGAAACAGTTCAGACAAGGTTTACCAGGCACCAGAAATGGGTGGGTTGTCAATTGAGGAAAGGTCGGACAGGCTATGTTTGTTTCCACTGCAGTTTAGAAAGATAATAGGTAACTTTATTGGCAAGTATAAGATCGTGAGTGGGCTTGACAGAGTGAGTGCAGAGAGGACATTCCCTGTTATGGGAGAATCTAGAAAAGGGGTTACTGTTTAAAAATCAGGGGTCAACCAATTAAACATATTTTCTTTTTTCTAACTGAGGGTTGTGAATCTTTGGAACTCTCCCTGAAAAGGTGGCGGAAGCCAGTTCATAAATATTTGTAAGACACAGAACAGATTCTTGTTAAGCAAGGAGATGAAAGGTTATTAGAGTGGACAAGCTTGTAAATTTGAGGTTGCAATCAGATTGCGCATGATCTTATTGAATGGCCTTTGCTTACTCCTTATTCATATGCTCATATTACCTCACATTCTCCTCAATTTGAAAGAATATAATTGCATTCTATTTAATCCTTCCACATAGGATAATCCCTCCATCCCAGGAATTAATTTGGTGAGCCTTTGTTGCACTCCCTCTGTGGCAAGTATATCTTTCTTTAAGCAATAAGGAGACCAAATCATGAAAGCTGTATTTCCAATTGTAGTGAGAGACCTTTAGTTTCATATTCAAACCCTCTTGTGATTGATGCCAACAGACTATTTGCTGTAATTGCTAGCTATATGTTAATTTTCAATGACTTCTGAACAAGTCTTTAAGCACTTTGTGCGTTCAGTGACAAGCATTACATTGTGAAACATTGTACAATTTTCATTGTAAAGTGATGTGCGGATATACAGTAGAATTGTTGGATCTCTGAGAAACCATCGCCACACAGTGATCCCACAAGCTTAATTGCTCTTTATTATGTAGAGTGTCAACAGCACATATATATTGCCCATCCCTCACTGGCCTTGAAAAGGCATTGAAGTTCAATGCTTCCCACGATCTCACTATTTTATAAATACTCTGCATTTGTTGTTCCTGCTAAAGTGGATAATCACATTTTTCTCCACGTTGTATTCTATCTGTCAAATTTTTGTTCATTTAGTCTCTCCAAACCATCCTCCTTACAACTCACAGTTCCACCTGGTTTTACGCCATGTGCAAATTTGAAAATATCAGCTAATTTTCCCATTTAATTCATTAACATGGGTTGTGAATAGCTGGGTCCAAATAACACCAAATTTTCTGGTACACCACCAGTCACAGCCTGCCAACCTGAAAACACCCCATGAATTCCAACTCTGTTAACCTGAACAGTTATGGTGCAGGAGACTATTCAGCTCATCATCTCTGTTCTGTGTCTCCAAGTGAGCATCATGACTTAATGCCATTCTCCCACATTTTCCACTAATCCTGCACATTATTTAATATTCTAATGACCTCTTGAATGTTCCCATTGAACCAGTCTCCACCACACTTTGAGGTGGCACAATTCAGACTGAACCACTCGCGTAAAAAGTGCTTTCTTACATCACATTTACTTCTTCCACAAACCATTTTAAATTTTTCCTCTGATTCTTGATGCATTTACAAACATAAGTTACTCGCTCATCCCTGGGACCATCCGCTTCTGCACTCACTCCATTGTGTTCACATGCTTCCAAGTGTATAGTGCACAGAACCACATGCAATACTCCATCTGAGGTCAAACTTGTGTCATGTACAGGTTAAATATAATCTCCCTGCTCTTGTTCACTTTATACCAGTTAACAAAGCCTAGGATACTATATGCTTTATTATCTGCACTCTCCACTTTTCCTGCCATCTTTAGTAATTTATGCACATGTTTTATCAGCTCCTGCACACCCTTTTGAAGTAATACCCTTTATTTTGTTCTACCAAAATGTATCACCTGACATTTCTCTGCATTGAAATTCATCTGCTACCTATCCACCGACTCCACCAACTTGTCAATATATTTCTGAAGTTCTATACTGTCCTCCTCACCCTTGCACTCTTAAGATCGAGATCATTAATATAAAGCAGGAAAGGGTTCCAACACGGCCTGAAGAACCTCAGTACAAATCTTCCTCCAACTTGACGAACATTCATGAGTTGCTATGCTCTGTTTTTTAAATTGCTACCATCCAGCGCTAAACTCAGGCAGCATATTTTCCCAGAGCCATGTTTCTAATTTTTGTTAAAGCTGTGTTTGGGTCCTTATTGAAAGCCTTCTGAAAATCTACATTCACCAATTCTCTGCTATATATTCTGGTAATTATATCCTCAAAAAATTTTGAATAGGTTTGAGATTTGTCAAGAATAAATACATGTTGATTTTGGGATTATGGAAATCAACATTCCGTTTGAACTTCAGTACAGACCAACTTGAAACCCAAAGGAAACTTGCAAGTATCCGCAGCGCAGTTCTATTAAGAATGTCAGCTTTTCCATTAGAAATTAATTTCACATAATATGTATTCTTGAATACTTAACTAATGTAAATGCACTGGTGTATTCTTTTTATTGGAGAATGCAAGGAGGGAGTCATGAACACAGTAAACACTTCACTTCTGACAATGACAAAGAGAAAAATATAGCAGATGATGCAAACCATTTAACTTAAAGAGCAACTTAGAATTCTGAATTATTGGTCAATTTGTCACAAAGGGTTTGATATCAATCTTAGGTATATCTAGGTGTTGCCAGGAACAGAGGGGTTGAGATATTAAAAAAATGGAAAGGCTAGGACTTTTTTTTTCACTGGAGTGTACAAGGTTGAGGGGGTGACTTTACTGAGGTTGATGAAACCACATGGAGCATACACAAGGTGAATGACAAAGGTCTTTTCCCTATGGTGGGATAGTTCAAAACTAGGGGCCCTATTTCGAAGGTGACAGGAGAATGATTTAAGAACGGTATGAAGGGCAACCTTTCTTACACAATGTGGTTCGTGTGTGGAATGAATTGCCAAAATGGTTGCTGCAGATAGTTACAGTTACAACATTTAAAAGACATTTGGGTAAGTTCATGAACAGGAAAGGTTTGGAGGGATATGGGCCAAGTGCAGGCAGGTGGGACTAATTTAGTTTGGGAACATTATCAGCATGGACCGGTTGGACGTAAGGGCCTGCTTCCATGGTGTATGACACTTATGTGTACAACTTTCACACGGCCAAATTAACAAACTGACATTTTCCACTATATCCACATTTCACCAATTGGAGTTTCTATCCAAGTGCTACAATACCTATATGAGGTAATAGCAGGCAAGGTCTGAATCTCTTTGAACAGAAATTGTAGTAGAAAGAAGGATTGATTAATTATTTCACCTCCAAACTCCTTCCCCAACCTTGGTCCTGTGAAGATGCTATAAAAATACATGCCTTCTTCCATACCATTCTAACCTTCGTGTCTCTCGAAAGTCTGGTGAGTTATTACACATACCGTTGTCACTTATGTAGATTTCAATTACTGAGCTTGTTCCATAGACAACCAGTGACACTCAGATGCTAAACTAAGAATCCATTACCTTAATTACAAGACACCAGCCTTCAGTAGTACATGTCTGAATAGCTGATGATTGAGTAACACTCATCAATCAGAACTATCATAGAACAGGATGGATTACTGTTTTGACATTCTATGAAATGAGCAATGCATTTTTAAATAAAAGTATTAATTAGCAGTTCATTTGACTACAAAATAGTAGTTGAGTTTCAACAGTCAAGTTATTGAGATCACTTCCATTATCTTTTTTGTCTAGATAAATATGGAATTATCCATTAGTACTATTGAATGTGATTAGCACGAGAAAGGAAAAGTCAGTGCTATTCACTTTTAAATGGTGACCATGAAGTTTAGCGATACATCCGAATAAATGGTACAGTATGGAGTTACTTTCATATTAAGACACTTGGCTTTTGAAAAGGCATCTTCCATTATGGCAGCGACACAAAAATTTCAAACAGGCTCACAAATGCAAGAAACAATGACCTTACTCAAGAAACGACAGTTGACAATATTTCAAACACATGGTCAATTTGATAAAATCTAAAGTTATTTGCCAAATTAATTGGTTGATACAGCCCAAACTTGTAGTTTATGGCTGTTCATATAATACAAAGAACAGAAACTACATATTGAATATCAATATCTTATGAAATACACAGTCACAAGAGTATGTAGATTGTGGACCTGGGTCCTAGTTCAAGGCACTTAATTGTTTATTTTGGGGGTCGGGGTGGGAAAGAGAACAAAAATAATGTGTGAAGGATATGCAGTCAAGAATAAATGCTGGGAGCATTGATTCTTGCTGATAGTTGAAGTTAATAGATTTTTTATCACCCAATCAACGCTGATTGAAAATTTAGCTTAGTACATAGTAGGGTTTATAAAATGTATATAATCACTGTTAATAAAGGGACTGGTAGCTTATCTCTTCAAACAGAATACTGACAGAAACTTTAATTAGATTTCCCTTCTGTAGTATGACTGGAAAACCCAAGTCCAATCACATGGCATTGTTCTATTTTTATTTGGATATTAAGGAAGTGCAAACTACACTGAGTCAAATATTCAAAAGTACTCTACCCAAAATGAAATATTACCAGATACAGGACACAGTTGCATAATTTATTATTTTTGTAAAAAAAAGGGAAAATAAATCAACAATTTCGGTTTATCACAACAAAAAAAATTGAAAAAACATGACTTTCTATTCATATATAGTTTATGAATTGTGTAGTAGATAACAGTGAGGATATCCTAGGCAAATGTATAAACAGATGCATTTTGAAAGTTGGTGCTTCATATTCAAGAATAGTACTTCCAGGATGAAGCTTATGGTGAACTGTTCAGCTGAACATTCAAAACTCCTCAATATCTATATTTGGTGGAATAGTCCTTTGGAGATACCACAAGACCCCTTCCTTTGCGGGCTCCTCTGTAAACTGTTTCAACAATGTCAATCATCTCCTGCTTATCTTCCATGGGCCAATTAATTTTGTTGTTGTTGCCTGTGCCCAAATCAATCATGATGTGCTTGTTTCTGGAAAGAAATAAAGAAATGTTATGCAAGGAAATTTTGTAACATAAAAACCTTCTGGCGACAACGTTATTGACTGTAAAATAAACACATTGACAATTTTTAAAATTCATTTGTGGGACGTGGGTGCTGCTGGCTGACTAGAACTTATTGTCCGTCCCTAGGTGCCCTTAAGAAGGTGCCGATGAGCTACCGCTTGAACTGCTGTAGTCCGACCTGCTGTGGTTTGGCCCACAATTTGCAATTTCTTTGAATTCTTCTGAGAATTAAAAGTGAGTACAGAAGCACTGGCGATGCTTCATCATCATCAATGGATCAAAATCCTGGAACTCCCTACCCACAGCACTGTGGATGTACTTACACCACAGACTGCAGTGGTTCAAGAAAGCAGCCATCCATCACTTTCACAGCAATTGGGGATGGGCAATAAATGCATGAAGAATTAAAAACAAATTGTCCAAGACCCCAAGGTTTTACATCTTGGGGAGGGAAGGCTTAAAAAAAAAAGTCAAGTAAAATAACATTTTTAAAAAAACTTAACGTAATATTTTTCACAAGAATTAGTCTGTTGAAGCATTGGTTAAAAAGTGTGCAATTTGTTTTAATTTGTTCAACAAGTCAGTACTTAAACCGGATTTTAAATTAAATTAACTGATCACTATAAGAACTACAGCAATATAAAAGACAGTGTGAGAAAGATCACATTAGGTGATACTGCAGTAATACAACCTGAGTATTTAAAACTTAGGACATTAAGAAATAAGTGGTGCAATACTTAGTACACAGAATACTCTATGAAAATGATCAGAACCAGCATAAGCCATCATCTACTCATAGTAAACCAGCTTATATAACTCAAATAATGAACCAATGTCATATGCTTCCTTCAGAGAGAAAAAAAAGGAAAAAATTAATAACATTGAATCAATGCCAGATGCTTCTTACAGAGAGAGATGAAAATTAAAACCAGAGGTCCAGATAACCCCACCCACAGAAATCAGATATAAGACTAAATGAAGTTGCTGGAAAAGCTCAGCAGGTTTGGCAGCATCTATGAATAAAAAAATAGTTAACATTTCGGGTCCAGTGGCCCTTCCTCAGAACTGCTGGGCTTTTCCAGCAACTACTGTTTTTGTTCCTGATTTACAGCAACCATAATTCTTTCAGTTTTTATTCAGATTCCAGACTGCCCTCGACTGGCACTGTTCACAGAGATCAAAACAAGTGAAGAAATAATCAAACATTTAGCCTAGAAGTCGATCAGTACATTCTGCACATTTACCATACAAGTTTGATACGAATGAATTTGATGGATAGAAGAAGCTTTACATCATGTGATGCAAGGCTGAGTTACACTACACATTTTAAGGTTTGCTCATGATCTATAAAATTTCCCCTTAAGGCCTTAATGGTCCCAATGGCTGTTTTTGCTGAAACTTCTCGATATGTTTTTGTGTTAAAGAATCCCAGCTATAGCTCAGCACAAAGAGCTGCAACAGGTTAAACATCTGCAATGTAGCTTTGATGCCACACTGTTGATTTGCAAGAACTGGAAAATACTGTCTATAATTTCAATCTTATTACAGGCAAAAATAACTTGCAAGAAACAAATTTTATTAATCAGTGTCAGAAATAGTTATAGCACAGAAGGTGGCCATTCAGACCATCGTGTCTCTGCCAGACACTTGCAACAACAATTCAGCTAATACCAGTCCCCTGCCTTTGTCCTCCTAGCCCTGCAATTTCTTTTCCAATAATTATCCAATTTTCTTTTGAAAGCCACAATTGAAAATGCTTCCATGACACACTCAAGCAACGCACTAATCACTCACTGTGCACAAAGGTTTCTCATATCACCATTAGCTCTTCTGTCAATCACCTTAAATCAGAGTCCACTGGTCTGCAAAACTTCCATCAACGGGCTAGTTTCTCTCTACGCTGCCCAAATCCCACAGTATTTTGAACACCCATCAATTCCCTTCATTATGGAAAATAAACCTAGCTTCTCTAATCTATCCATGTGACTAAAGTCAATCATCACTGAATCATCTAACAAAATAGAAACAATATTTTCCAAAACAGATGCTTAAAAAATTGGGGTTAGGACAGAGGAAACTTGATGAGGTTATGCGAAGCAGATAGATTGCTAAAGATACTGAAAATTTCTCCTCAGTTAATTCTTGTTCTGAGCGTTACCATCCTCCCATATTCTTTACACAAGGACAAGGGGTGGCTTGCTCCCTGCCAACTTCCTTCACTATACAAATTAGATTGGAGGAGGACAGGATACTTATTAAGTGCCACATCCTATGATAAATCACAACTCATTTTACATTGAAGGAAGAGACTAGCAGAGAAACAACCGCACTTCAATTTAAAATCAGCATAATCTTAAGATAAAGGACATTTACACCTTTTCCAACAACTTGCATTACGAACACCTGAATTGTTTTCAATTAATCTGAATATAGCAGTAACCTGAGCTTGCTGACTGTAAGTGACCATTTGTTCGTACAGAATTAACACGCTCTTAGCAAAAGTGATGTGAGGCAGGAAACATTTCAAAGCTGCCATGAGGTTCCTTTTAGGATTTGGCTCTCAAATTGATAGAAAATAGTGATAAAGATGAGCCTGATATTACCATCCAACTGCCACAGACCAAAATGAGATAGCAATGCAGCAATGCAATTTGATTGACTGGAGTAATGCATTCAGAAGCATTCAACTCCAACCCAAGAGTGAAAGCTTGTGAATGTCTAACTGCCCATATATCTGAAATCTATCAACCAAATGGCTGCATCATCTGGAAGATGTGTGTACATTCTGTTAGATTAGCCAACCACAAAGTCAGCAAGCACTCATGTACCTAGTGCATGGCTCAGGTTAAGTGTAAACAAAGGAGGGACTCACTGGAAGAGTAAGTTTGCAAAATAGTTGAAATCTTCAGATCCTCTAGGAATGGTGAAGGCAATGGAAATCCTACATTGATATAGCAGGAGGGACATACATTAGCCAGAGCTTTCAACAGATCGTCAGTGGGGAGGAAAGTGAAAGTGCACCTAAATCTGTACTCATTCCATAACTACCAACCGTGAGTCAATTCCTGCATTACTGTATGTAAACAAATACTGTAAAATGCTGAATGATGCTGAAAATCTGAAAAAAAAACAAACAAAGTGGCAGAACTGCTCATCTGGTCTGGTAGCCATCTGTGGAGGGGCGAGGCAGAGGGAGAGAGAAGCAAGATTTAAGTATCAAGTCCAATTTGACACTTCTTCAGAACTATGTTGGATTTGAAATGTTAACTGTTTCTCTCTTTTACTTTGATTGTCAGCATCCACATTACTTTCAGCAACGTTTTCATATCTTACAATACGGATCTGCAGTTGGCTGCAAGTTATGCATAATATTCAACAACAAATAACAATGAACTGTGAGGAAGATGGTGACAATGACATTGACAAGTTGGTGGAGTGGGTGGATAGGAGGTAGCTGAGGTTCAATGCAGAGACGTGTGAGGTGATGCAATTTCATGAGAAGAATGCTGAAAGTCAATAAAAAAGAAAAGGAGTACAATTGTAAAGGGCATGTAGAAGCAGAGGGACCCAGGTGTATATGTTCATCAATCATTGGAAGTGGCAGGACAGGTGGAAACAGCAGTAAATAAAGCACGTACTGCTCTTGGTTTTATTAACAGGGGCATGGAGTTGATGTTGAACTTGTTTAAGACACTTGTTAGCACTCAGCTCAAATACTGAGCACAGAAATGATTTACTAAAGTGCTTCCAGGTTTGAGAAACTTCAGCTATGAGGATTGTTGAAGAAGTTGGGACTGCTCTCCCTGGGACAGACGGTGGTTGAGAGAAGATCTGATTGACGTTTTCAAAATCACAACCACCTGGAGAGAGTAAATAGGTTGAATCTGTTTCTGCTTGTAAAAGAAACACGAACAACAACATAGATTTAAAGTGGTGTGCAAATGAAGCAAGGATGATGTGAAAAAAAACCTTTTTCAGACAGCAACTTGTTAGGGTATGGAATGCATTGCTTGGAAAAATGGTGGAGTCAGGTTCTGTTGAGGTATTCAAGAGGGCATTGGATAATTAATTATAACCAGAAATGGTGTGCAGGGAGATTGGCCACTCTGGGCACCTTTCACAATACACTGACATTGTTTCAAACTGGGAGGCTTCCATCTTTCTCTCTAAAATAAGGAGGCGAATTGCTCTGCAATATGCCAAAGAAAATGGGGAGTCAATATTGATAATATGTTATTATAGTCACATGATAATTTAGGAATACGAGACTTTTGATGCAGGTAAGATTTCTATCCTTTGCGTATTGCAGGACTTCAACTGTGTCTATTCAATTACCAAAAATACAAATTCAAGATTTTATTAGGATTGTTATTTATTCTTGTTACATTAAGAACTTTGATGACACATACCTGAAGAAAAACATAACAGTACATGGATCGTACAATTCATACATCTTGTTGAAGTCTGGTACCTCTGTAATATCCACTAGATAAATAACAGCAAAGTTTTTCACCTAAAAAAAACAAATAAACTTTTAGAATTACAAACAGAAACTAAAATCTGGGCTCCTCAGAAAGTCATGAAAGTAAGTATTTTATGAAACAAAGAAGTGCCGATGTTAGAAACCTGAAACATAAACAGAAATTGTTGGAGAAACTCAGCAGGTCTGGTGACATCTGACATGAGAAAGGAGAGTTAATGTTTTGAGTCCAGAAGATGGTTCTTCAGAATGTTAACTCTGCTTTCACTCCACGGATGTTGAGACACCTGCTGAGTTTCTCCAGCAATTTCTGTTTTCGTTTAAGAATGCTTCACATAGAGTCATAGAGACGTACAGCACAGAAACAGACTCTTCACTCCAACTCGTCCATGCCAACCGTCTCTCCTAAATAATTCCAGTCCCATTTGCCATCATTTAGCCCATATCCCTCTAAACCCTTCCCTATTCACACACTCACCCATGTGCCTTTTAAATGTTGTAATTGTACCAGCCTCCACCACTTCCTGTAGCAGCTCATTTCATATACGCATCACCTGCTGTGTGAAAAAGTTGCCCACTTAAATCTTTCCCCACTCACCTTAAAAACCAATGCCCTCTAGTTTTGGACTCCCCCAACCCTGGGGAAAAGACCTTCCCTATTTACCATATCCAAGCCCCTCATGATTTTATAAATCTCTATAAGGTCACCCCTCAGCCTCCAACGCCCCAGGGAAAATAGCTCCAGCCTATTCAGCCTCTCCTATAGCTCAAACCTCCAACCCTGGTAACACCCTTGTAAATGTTTTCTGAACCCTTTCAAGTTTCACAACCTCCTTCCTAAAGGAGGGAGACCAGAATTGCAACACAGTATTCCAAAAGTAGCCTAAACAATGTCCTGTACAGCCACAACATGACCTCCCAACTCCCATACTCAATGCACTGACCAACAAAGGCAAGCATACCAAATGCCTTCTTCACTATCTACCTGCAACTCCACTTTCAAGGAACTATGAAGCTGCACTCCTAGGTCTCTTTGTTCAGCAAAATCCCCAGGACCTTATGTCGTGTTCATAAATGAACCATATCCATTGCTGTATCCAATGCCATCAGCCATTTCATGCTATCACATAGGATGAATTGAATTAACTGAAGATTGACATCTGTGATGCTGGGGAACCCAGGAGGATGCCATGATTGATCATCCACTCAGCACTTCTTGATCAAGGTGCACATAAATACTTCAGGTTTGTCTTTTCACTCATGAGCTGGTTTCCCACATCATATTTGTAATGCATTCACCCTCTGCAGACTTTTTTTTTATCATCCACTACCATTCACAACTGAATGTAGCAGGACTGTACTGCTTAGACCTGATTTGTTGGTTCGGGACCATTTAATTCTGTCCAAGGAATGCTGATTCCACTATCTGTGACGCACACAGTCATTTGTCAGCAGGTTGACATCTCATTTTTAGGCATGGCCGGTGCTGCTCCAGATATACCCTCCTGTACTGTTCACTGACCACCTGATGGTAATGGTAGAGTGTGGGACATACCAGGCCATGAGGTTACACATTGCAGGTGAAGGTAATTCTGCTGCTAATGCTCTGTAGCACCTAATCAAGGCCCAGCTGAGTTGCTAAACTTATTCCAAGTCTGCCCCATTTAGCAAAGTAATAGTGCCACACAACAGGATGGAAGGGATTCACAATGTGAAATGGGAACATAGTGCCTGATAAAAGCTTGAGAAGTGGATAACAACAAATGGAAATTATAGCATTTTCTTGATTGAATGGAGAGTTATAAAGTACTGGAGATGCACTGCCTTTCATACGGTCAAGAGGGAGCATTGTTAGAGCTCTGCAAGTATACAGCTTGCTTCCTTCCTCAGTGAATCCAGACAAAATGAAAAGATTAATGTACCTTGAAAGAAATCCATCATGCTGTGCAGACTGAAGAACAAAGAACACACAGATTGGTCCAGTTTGGGCTCCGCCAGGGCCACTCAGCTCCTGACCTAATTACTTGGCACAAAAAGGACAAAAGAACAGAATTCTAGAGGTGAGGTGACAGCTCTTGACTTCAAGGCCATATTCAACAAAGTGTGGCATCAAGGAGCCCTAGCAAAGCTGGAATCAATGGGTATCTGGAGGCAAACTCTCTGCTGGTTGGAGTCATAACAGGCACATAGGAAAATGGTTATGGCTCCAGGACATCTCTGCAGGATTTCCTCAGAGTAGTGTCCTAGGCCTGACCATCTTCAGCTGCTTCAACAATGACCTTCCCGCCATCATAAAGTCTGAAACAGGGATGTTCGCCAATGATTGCACCATGCTCAGCACCATTTGCAACTTCTCAGATATTGAAACAATCTATGTTCAAATGCAACAAGATCTGGACAATATCCAGGCTTGGGCTGACAAGTGGCAAGTAGTATTCAACACCACAGAAATGCCAGGCAATGACCATCTCCAATAAGAGACGAGAAGAGAAACCAGTGTCCCATGACATTCAATGTTATTATCATCACTGAATCCCCCGCAATCAACATCCTGGGGGTTACCATTGAACACAAACTCAACTGGACAAGCACATAAAGACAGTGGCTACAAGAGCATCAGAGGCTAGGAATACTGTGGTGAGTAACCCACCTCCTGACTTCCTAAAACTTATCCATCAACTACATGGCACAAGTCAGGAGTGTGACAGAAAACTCCCAACTTGCCTGGATGGGTGCAGCTGCAACAACACTCAAGAAGCTTGACACCATTCAGGATGAAGCAGCCCGCTTGATCAGCACATCAACAAATATCCATTCTCTCCACCGACGCTTAGTAGCAGCATGTACTATCAACAAGATGCACTGTGGAAATTCACTAAAGATCCTCAGACAGCACCTTCCAAACCCACAACCACTTCCTTCTAGAAGGACAAGGGCAGCAGAAACATGGGAACACCACAATCTGCAAATTTCCCTTCAAGCCACTCACCATCCTGATGAGAAACTATATTGCTGTTCCTTCAGTCGCTAGGCCAAAATACTGGAATTCCCTCCCTAAGGGCATTGTGCATCAACCTACAGCACATAGACTGCAACAGTTCAAAAGGCATCTTACCACCATCTTCTCAAGGGAAACTAGGGATGGGCCATAAATGGTGCCCGAATAGCAATGCCCATATCCCACAAATGAATAGAAGAAATTTATATAGTTCTAACATTGTATTTAACCGGATACAACTTTACCTAACGCTGGGTGCACTTGCTGATGTTTACGAAGGCTTACCTTTTCAGCAATACTATACAAGACCTCATCCATCTTCATACAAGTTGGATCCCAATCATGACCAAAGCGAATGACAACAACACGATCCTCCTCTGACAGGATGGCCTGGTCTACTTGCCAGCCATTGTGGAGATGTGGCAGCATATACGACATTGCGGCAAAGACTTGTACAATTTCTAATACCCCTTTATACGACAAAACCAAAAAATTGAGTTAAACCACTTCTAGACTAGAAAGAAAAATGTTAGTCTTATGAATAAAAGCTCTGTGCTAACAGAAGTTGTACAGTTCTTAAGTTGTTCTTAAATCAGTTCTTAAGACACAGGCAGACTGATGTAAATAAATAGTAGCTTGGGCCTTTAAAGGTTTTAAAAAACAGAATCATGACAGTCGTAAAGCAATTAACAGCCTGTATTTTGATCGTTTTTGACACTGTAAAACTTACCATAAACATGACAAAGAAAAGTCTGCCACCAAGCCACATAAAGAGGCATTTTAGTACTTAAGCCCAAAACCTTGTTCACAGGGCAAGTTTCAAAGCAAGTCGTAAAGTAGGAAGGGAGGTGAGTGGAAGAGTGACCGAGAGGTTTAAGAAAGGCGTTCCAGAGCTTAGGGCCTTGGCAGCCAAAAGCCCAGCCACTAGTGTTGGAGGAGTCAATGTTGGGATGCTCAAGACACCTGAAGAAAGGAGTGCAGCAATCATTTATGTCAGGGGTGAGGGAGCCTCTGAAGGATTGGAGATACATGTTCATTGATAACTCATAACCTACATAATACTTGTAGAATATCTCCTCCTTACTGTTCCATGCTAGATGTTAATCAAATTGGTTAGAATTGCTATGAAGTCCGCATTTTACAAAACCTAATGCACAGTAGTTGAAAACACATGCTCCAATTCCAAAGAATGAAACAGCAACAATCCACTTTTAAGTTTTCAAACAGTAACCGACTGATTCTCTATCATATTGCATATTCTTTGGTCATATTTCTGCAGAGGCTGCAAATTACAAAATAGGGAAATCTCTATGAATCAAGTTTGCACGATTCCTCAGCAATCATTCCTGTTGCCTGGCGAACTTTCATGGCTTTCGATCATGTTTTTGAGGGGTTACACACAGTGTCTGTTATCAATGAAACTGGAGTGGGGTGGACAGTTGAGATGGGTGTAAACACCAAAGTTGATTAAAAATGATCTTTGTCTTGTGGTCACAATTAGCAATGTCCCTCTTGAGAAGGGGAATGGAGGGGTGGTCACTTTTGTTTTGATTTAATTGGGGAGGGTGGAGGGGGAAGAGAAATGCTGTCATTTCTCTTCCTCTAAAAGCCCACCTTCAGGGGTTATTGTAGGGCCCTAACCTCTGGGCCGGGAGGCCCGGGTAGAAGTCCCCCGGCCCTGTGCCACAAGGTGTGCAATGACATCTCTGAACAGGTTGATTAGAAAGCAAAATGTGTAGAAGGCCACCAGCGAGCCAGGAGTGATAGTGAAGTTTACAAAGTTCTGTGTAGTGCCCTGAAACAACTCAGTAACCATGGCGGGGAATTGCCTCTGCCTTTACCAGAAAAACAGGTGGACAGCGGAGGTGAAAGAAGCTCTTTAACAAACAACCCTCTGAGAGCTAACTGATGGTGTTTAATAGTAACCCCGGTGTGTATTTGAATGACTGTGAGAGTCATGTGGGGATGGGGAATAGTCAGAGACAGTAAACATGCCGCATCTGTATCGCCGTAAAGAAAAGATTGAGAATTAAACCGCTGGAAATACTCGACTGAACAGGAGTGTGTGTGTGTATTAACCGGGCTCACCTCAAACACCAATCCCCGGACTGACACCGAGCAGCGGCAGCACCTCCACCTCCCCCCGGCCCCAGCTCCAGCTGCAGGGCCTCTGACAACCAACATGGCGGCCGCCGGTGTGGGGACAGGCCGCATGCGCGGGACCTCTGGGCCAATGGGGAAAGCCTCGCGATGTTTCCCCGTGTCCCTCTGCCGGTGCAGCGATAGGTTGCATTGTGCTGGACCTTGTAGCAAAGCACTGGCAATTTGTCACCTCTGGAGGGCAGCCAAGTGCAGGGAATGCAACAGCGCGTTTGCACACAACCAGGCCACTGCCCTGTCATAATGTCCAGATGATTTGTCTTTTGCAATATTAGTTCAGGGAATAAATATTGGTTGGGATATGGGAGATAACACTTCTTTCAAATAATGGCACCGAATCCTTTACATCCAACCAAGAGTTGATGTTTCAACTAAATGATGGCACCTCAGACAGTGCGGCACTCCCTCAGTATTGCATATGTCAGTGTAGAGATTTGGAAAGCTGTTCAAACACTCAGATTCAGAGGTAATGATGCTGGAAGGCTAACAAACTAATGGCAACATCGATAAAGTTCTCTTCCGTCCAACTCATCCATGCTGACTAGATATCCTATATAAATCTAGTCCCATTTGCTAGCATTTGGCCCATATCCTTCTAAACTCTTCCTATTCATATACCCATCCAGAGGCATTTTAAATGTGGTCATTGTACCCGCCTCCAACACCTCCTCTGGCATCTCATTCCTTACACACACCACCCTCTGCATGAAAAAGTTGCCCGTTAGGTTCCTTTTAAATCTTTTTCCTCTCACCTTAAACCTATGCCCTCTAGTTTTGGGCATTGCTGACAAAGTAGCTGAATATGATTGTCATAGATTGGATTCCCTTTAACTGGCAATTAATTTTTAGATACCTTGCTGAAAAATAAAATTTGAAGTAGTTTTTTTTCAAGCTGAGTGATACACAATGACTGGTTAAAATACTAATGGGTCCTTCATTTCATCATTTTCACTTACGCAGCTGGATGCCAGGCTTGTAGGTGTTTTTGTGAAACAGTATTGGATTCGTGGTGGTAACCATCTATGTCCTGGGACAAAATAACTTCATTAAATTGCAATCAGAATTCTTTCCTTGGTTTTCGTGAAAATCAAAATTCCTCTGAATGTAATTTATTCAGTTGTGCAATGACTTTACATCCAACTTTGAATGCTGGGAAACTGGTTCATCTACTATGACTATGTGCCGCTATCCATCCTACCTCATTCCAGTTCATCACCAAGTAAGAAAACAGAGCAGAACTTGTTCCTATTTTAAAGTGCATAGCTTTAATTCAATTTCGCAGACCCCATTGGAAGACGTTGTAGATTGTACCTCATCTCACTTTGATGCTAATTGCAACGATTCTTTTAATTTGAGGATATGATTCATCCAGAGCAAGAAATTAGAGTTTGGGTTAGGGTTAGAGAAATTCATGGAGATTGCTGTTTTTTCTTATACAAAAGGAAGTTATGCTGAGCATGATAAATTTGCCCATCTGCAGTGACCCCAGGTTCAAAGAAAAAAATGCTTGCTTATAACTTAATTTACTCCATTTTGTTAGTGTGCAGTCTGCTAATGTGTGGCACAGATCTGGCATGGTTAGGATCAGTTTCCTCTTGATTGTACAGGAAACATAGTATCAGGAGGAGATTATTCACCCACAGGAACCTAATCCATCATTAAGACACTTTGTGACTGATCTGCACATTCTTATCCTTAAGTTCTCCATACAAAAGCAGATCTGACCACAGCACAGCAATCTCTCCCCCACTTCCTCCCTCCCCAGGCAGAGCAAGAAAGCAGGTTGTGAAGCCACCCCACCCAAAATGGCAATCAACCCCGATTTTGTTCTAATTTATATATTAACTCCATCTACATAATCCTTTGTACCCTCTTCTAAGAAAAGTCTGTCAAATTTGGTTTAAAAATTTTTAATTGACCCACTTTAGGAGAGACTTTGTGACCAGCCATATAAATACCAAGTAGGTGAGGGGCTGAGAATTGTGTGGTGGGTAACTCACCTCCTGAATCCTCAAAGCCTGCCCACCATCTACAACGCACAAGTCAGCAGCGTGATGGAATACTCCACACTTGCCTGTTTGGTTGCAGGTCCAAAAGCATGCAAGAACCTCAGCACTATCCAAAGCAATGTGAACTGTTAAATTGAGTGCTAGATTTTTACTGGCACCCCCCTTTGAGGTCAGTCATGTGTGCCCTTGCTTTGCTATTCCTAGATCAATGATCGTCTGGTTCAGTGTCTGCACAGAAGTAATTATGCCAAGGTGGAAAAGCTAACTTTTTGCATGTGTATGGTGGAGGGTGATTAGCAATAAGCTGAGGATAAAAGTGACAAACCCGTTTGAGATGAATGAGGAGGACTGAGATATTCACATTCACAGATTAGGGCCATTTCTGTGCTGTCATCAGGAGAAATCTAACTTGAGAGCTATCACTATGGATTTATAGGAAAATGGGCACATATTTGGGAGGTTCAAGAAATTTGGAGATAGGCAGGGAGATTGGTGACAGTGTGGTGGTTTCCAAGGGCAGTAAAGTAGTTTGTATTTTTTTTAGAGACAACAAGGTGCAGGGCTGGATGAACACAGCAGGCCAAGCAGCATC